GTCGTCCATGCCTTACGCCGCCCTTGGTCATAGAAATGATGTAATTTGAATATAAATTATTTATAAATACGTATGTCAAGTTATATTTTTATTATTACGTAAAATATATTTAAGCGTTTACGACCACTGTGCCGGGTGAGACGTTGTTGAAACAAAAAAAGTTATGCGTTTCATCACGTACATAAACAGTGTCGTAATTCGCCAAGTGCAAATCAGCAAATTCGTGAAATTTTTGTTTATTTTGAACAATCCGGATAATCGAAAATCCGGATAATGGAGGTCCGGATAATGCAGGTTCTACTGTATAATTCAATAAACTATCAGTTATTATTGTAAATTAACATAAATTTGTCCACCAATCCCCAAATGACCCATAGTAATTTATCAACTTCTCTAGATAAATTGATTCATCCCTAGGGGATCACTATCCACCAGAGTGGGAACTGCTAATCTTATAACTTGGCTGTTGTTACAACTATCTACAGCTAAATTCTATTGATATTTCATTTTTATTTTAATTTATACCTACATTCTAAAATTTAAAACAGTATTCTAAAACTGTTTTAAATTTTTGAAATGTAAAAACAATTATCATATACCATAACTAACTTTATGGAGTGTATACAATAATGCATATTAAAATATAAAAATATACATTTAAAATACAATAAAAATCACAGAGGAAAAAAAAAACAATCATATTAAATTTAAACTGAAAAGAAGAAATATTAATATTTAAAAGCAAACATTATTATATCAGAAGCTTCATATCTGAAGGGTGCAAAAAGTGCCACAAGTATGGAAACTACAAATATGGCAAAGAAAAATATATTGAGAAAACAAGGTTAGAAGAATAAAAAAATCATGATTAAGAAATAAAAGCACATTTTAATACAAAATAAATTTGCTAGTGCATTTCTAGTTTCTTTTTATTAACATATCCTGTGGTAAATTAATTTATAATGGAAGTATGTATAACCGATATACTCAATTTTCTTTCCTGAAAATAACAGTACTTTAACTTTGTTTTCTATTGACATTATCTTTTCTTTAGTCTTTTTGATATTTTGTCACTGGTAATTTTGCTTAGATGGCATTTTCTTTTATTCTTATAAATCAACATATTAACTAAAATCATCTCATAAAATACAAAACTGGTAGAAAAATTGTTTTAGATTAGTAAACAATATAAAACATAAAACAATTTAAAATTAATATAAAACAGTTTTTACTGTGTGCGCAAAATAAATAATCATGTGCTAAAATAATTTGAGATGGTCTTCCTAGATATTAAACATCATTTAATTGTTAATTTCTTTTGTTAGGCCATCTGCTACATGAAGTTAATACATTTCAATATTAATTAATTAAAAAGATCCAAAATGGAATAACTTTTTATTACACTTTGACTCTAACAAAGTTTGAAATTAGTTTAACTACATTTTTTATTCATATTCAATCGATAAATATAAAAAAAATTAAAACTACCACTAATTACTATTTCCAGAACTAGAATAAATACAGCTATCCCTTGCTTAACATGGTTTTGCTTAATGCAGGATTTGATTAACACACAAAATTAATTGCAACAATTCCCTTATATAAGTGGCAGAAGTTCTAATTAATACAGCTTTACCAGCTGTCTTTACTTAGCATAGATACTATATTTGATTAATGCAATTTTGACATACATGGTAACATTGAGGGCTTAATTAACCATGTTATAATTGAGGGATACCTGATCATGTTAAAAAACACAGATATTTTGGCATCACAACTAATGCATTTGATAAAAAACTGTTCTATAACTTGTTTTCTTGAGTGGGCATATTGTTTATGCACTTTAGACAAATGTTATTTGTCAGAATAACATCTTTATTATAAAATATAATGAAAGAGAGGACCCAAACAATTAGGTTAAATGTTACAGTTCAGTTTTTGATTCTATGTTTTATATTTTCATTTTTCACATGTAAGTAAATTAAATCCTGAAAAAAATTAATGCATTGATTAAAGTAGTTAACTAATTTCTATAACTTTTTCAATTGAGTATTCATAATTATAAAACAATACAAAGTTTTTCAGAATATGTAATAAAGGCAAAAATTGGACAAGATTCTAAATGAAATAGGCACACCTACAGAACACAAGAAAATAAACCTATTTCAGAAAGGTTAACAAATCATCTTTCTGTTTTAATTTTTCATACAATGTAGTTAAATCAATATGTTTGTTTACACCAAACTCAAAACATTGTAATAATCCATATTACACAAAGCCATTCATTTGGTATTATGTAAGAATTTTGTTCAAAACAAAAGACATTTCTCTTTGCTAAATAACTTTAATTATCAGTTTAAATAATTGATTATATTCTAAATTGAAAGTCTGAATTTGTTTGACATCGTCATATTTTTATGTACCATTTTGTCCCATTTCAATTTCGTTTTTTGTTTTATGCAGGGAAAAAATTTTCATTTTTATTTGAATATTTTCTTTATAAAAAGAACTCAAAATACCTCTAAGAATTGGTAAAACCTGATTTTAGATATTAAAATCAACCATGTGTTCAGTTTCATAAAATTTTATACAAAATAAATAAAAGATAATAAATATAAAAATAAAATAATGTTTAAAGTTACATGAACAAAATATAGAAAATCAATAAAGTGTACCTTATTCTCTGTAGTAGTGTATGCAAATGTTTTTAAATAAAATTNATTATTTATTTTTTAATTTATTAAATTTAAAAAATGGATTATAAACTTAATACTTTTAACTGTATTTGTATATATAATAATTGTGATTTTACAAATTTGTTCTAATTTAATTATTACATAAAACAATTGGAAAAGGCTAACTATTAACAAATTTTTTGATGTCTCAATTTATTTTCCCTAAGTTTTGAAGTCTGTGCCAAACTCTCTGCCAGATGGTAAATAAATCTTTTTCAAAACATTTTGTGAATGGGCAAACATGTTCATGTTTTGGTTAAATAAATATAAATTCATTTTCTATTATATCAAAATTAAATGGCCAAATGCATTTAGTATGTAAATTTTATAAATACAAATTAATTCCAAATTTTTATCATTACAATAAAGATAATAATTAGCAGCAAGCTAATTATTTTTTTTTTTAAATCATTATTCAAATACTGTCAAATTAGTATAAAACTTGTAAATTCACCAAAGTGATTAATATTAAATCATTGAATATAAAAATAAAATGTATCTTACCTCCTTCCGTTTCTTGCCATACAATACCCTCTAACGTCACACTGGTCCCGGGTTCACAAGGTCCCAAACATTCTGGTTCTGTGATGGTCCCGACACTCGTGGAGGTACCCGCATCCCGCATCTCGAGAGGAAAAATTGCAACGAGTTACATCCTATCCAACAAGATATCAAGAAAGGTGACAGACTGCTAATTCTAACTTATAAAATTAAGAAATTACATAAAGTATTTTTAATTTTATATTCATCATTCAGATAGCTTCCTAGGATTTTAAATTTTGTTGACAAATTATAATTCTTTTTAATCTGATTTTACCTAAATAAATGTAACATCCTAATCAATATAACAGTCTGAAATCATTGACATTATTATTATTAAAAATTTATAGATATGACTAATATTTAAATAATTATTTCCTACATAGAAAAAGAATTTTATCAAATACATGAAAATTTCTTACAAATTACTCTTACACTAATATGCTGACTAATCAGGAAGATATAATTATTATACTAATTGAGTAAAAATTACAACTACAGTATTTTACTTAAAAATAAATCAGTCTATCAATCATTACAATAATTATCATTAATTAAAAACTATTCAATAAGAAAAAATATATTATAGAATTATGTGTAATTTTTTTATTAATCTATCTTGATTAATTACAAGTAACAATTGTAGAATAATATGCTATATTTAATACATTTATATATATATTATCTAATGAAGTAATATAACACATAAGAGAGTTTAATTAAAATATATGATGTTACTAATAAATATAATTTATAAAATATATGAATGAAAAGCACGTTTTAATAACAGATTTGCTAACTTTCTGTGACTTGCATCTCTCGTTGGAGATCTTTTTTTTACGTAAAAAATACTAACAGTAATTTAAAAAATAATATATGAATATCTACAACAAGAGACTGTCAGGAGCAGAATGTAGATCAATTTATAAGCAGAAAATCTAAACGAATTTAATTGCTTGAAATTTTATAAAAATTCTATGCAATTAAACTGACTTTTTTCAATTGTCAAATTACATTTTTTAATTATTAAGATCATTAATCATAATTAATTATCTTTCATCACATTTCAAACAGCTTAAAAATAACATACTTGTTGACAACTGATGATGAAAACGTCAATCACCAAAACTTTAAATTGTGGGAACGAAACCTGCCAAGATGTTGAATCCTTGAAAACTGTTTGTTAAAAAAATTCACTGGCTACAACTACTAACCAATTAATTTGCAGTATTTAATTTATTCATCAAATAATTGATATGCAATACATTATTTTTTTAATCAATGCTTGATTATAAAGAATAATAATACTTGATTACATGTTGTCTTATATGCTTTCAATAGACCTATCTTGAGAAGCATATTGTACAACCTTT